TAGATAGATAGATATAATACGCACACACACATAAAAGTAACAAAACTTATCTCACCACGACAGGACAAATCTTGAGTGAGCGTGTGATATCATGCCCCTACAGATTAGAACCTAGTTTACATGACGATGATAACATATCACAAACGTCTACAGGGGGGACAGTAGAGCTGCGATGACGAGACAAACCTTGTACAGGTCTTTCTCGTGTTCTGCCTGTTCCTGCATTATGTCCTCCATCTCCAGCCGCAGACGCTGCGGGGCAAAAAACCGCAACCGTGATTCACGATCCGCAAAACGAGATCCAAACAAACAGTTATGCAAGAGAGCACAAATTTGTGAGATGTCCATGCACACACACGGCATATTCCGACACCATTTATCTGCAGAATAGGTTTTAATTGCTCACACAGATTTTGCCTATAGATGGCGCTACCCACCATGACAGATGGATTTTGTTTATAGATGGCGCTACCCACCTTAACAGACAGATTGTGTCTATAGATGGCATACCCATCTTCACATCAACAACTTTTGTCTATAGGTGGCCCCACCCACATCGACATGCAGACAGCTATTGCCAGTAGGTGGCGCCTCTCACCTCGCTCTCGGCGCAGCTGACGCGCACCAGCTCGTTGAGAATGAGCAGCGATCCGTGAATGCGGTCGGCTCGGTTGATGCCTCGCTCGCGCGTGTCGTCGAATCCCTTCTCCGCCTCATCGTAGCATTGCTGTGAGCGAAACAACGACAACGATGACTCGCGTCACATGCGCGCTGCAGCATTCACTCGCTCGTGTTTAACCAACCGTCTCAGCGTTCACCGTCGTTTCTCGTCTAACGGGGGAAAGCGTTTGTAGCAAAGTTGACACGTCACGGAACACTCATGTCACGCGCACGCCTTACAGTAGTCATTCGCGCATGGTAATCATTCTTCATGCTTACCCAACCGGCTAAGCGTTCACCGTCGTTTCTCGTTTAATGGCAAGCATTCGTAGCGAATTTAACACGTCACGGAACACTCGCGTTACGTACCTTACAGCAGTAATTCCCCTCACAGTAATCGCAGCAAACAGTACAACAACAAACAACAAACAGTACCATAACACACTAACAGCAAACAGCAACAGCTAACGTTACAGCGGTGACACGCAGCACGCGGGTGCACCACGGGACGCGTGCCTGTGCTGCGGGAGTGAGCGTCGCGCGCCTCACCTGGTACCACAGTGGCTTCTGCATCTCCTTGGTCTCTCGCTGTGAGGTCACGACGAGCCCGGCCCTCAGTGCCAGCACGGCCGCCTCGCGAATGCTCGCCTGCAACGATCATCAACACACGAAGCTGAAAGCACCCCGCGATACCAGTCACCGGCCGTTCACGCGGTGAAGGCATCAAAACACGGAGATGAAAGCACCCCGCGATACCAGTCACCGGCCGTTCACGCGGTGAAGGCATCAACACGTGAAGATGAAAGCCCCCTGCGATACCACTCACCGGCCGTTCATGCGGTGAAGGTCTCGAAAGGCGTTTCTTATTTTTTTCCCCTGGACATCTCAGCATCGCTTCGCGAGGTGACGATTTCGAGGGGTGGGATTTTGAAATTCGTCCTACGATTTCTCGTTGACATTTCACGAGGTGAAGATTTCGAAAAGCCATTTTGAATATTATTTTATTTTCATTATAGGATGATATTGTATATGGGCTTATAGATCAACATGAGTACTATCCCCAACTAGGTACATAGCTAGCTATAGCAGTTTAGTCAATTATAGTAGCCTTACTGAAATCCCTAGCTACGTACACAAACACAACAGACTGCGTATGCATACGTTAACCACGGGATTCTCCAAACCCGATTCGTGACAACGTTCCTCACCAACCGACCGTGCTCCAAGGTTATGCATCCAAGGTGCGATAATTTACCTTAACATCAAATTCAAGTTTTTCGACTTGGCGAAGAATATAACGAGATTAATATTGACGGAGGGGGGGGGGTGCAAGGAGAGGAAGGGGGGGCAACATTAACGGACGCTTACCTTTGCATCTCTAATGGCGGTGAAGATACAATCGAAGAAGACCTGCACTTGCTGATAGAAGAAGGTTGGCGTGCAGACAGCTAGCTCTCGCAGCACCAGCACCTGTAGTGGAGCAAGAAATCCGTCACGTCGACATGACGACGCGAAGAAATACGCGTAACCCGAGTAACGATCGACTGGCCTTTACAGCACAAAGCCTAATGTTACTTTGTGTAGAGATATATTACGCATTAGCTAGTTCACACGTAGCCACAGCGTTCGAAATTAGTGCCGACCCGGAGGCCCGAGGTCACCAAGTTTTTGCTTCGGCCACCACCTCTACGAAACTGCCGGTCCTCCTGACCCGCACTTTTCCCCCTCACATTACGCTGAAATACTACGGTTATCGCAACGGCAGTTTAGATAGACTTGTAAATGGGAGCGCATTCTAATACACTCCGTTTCTGAACGTAGACGGGGTATCCATAACATCCTCCAATCATGATTCGCCATACGAACAAAACCTTGTGACAGTCTAAGAAATCGATTGCAGCATGTAGCGTAGCCCAGTGTTTTTATGACCGCATAACAATAAGTTCATATGTCGCAGGGGTTATCGTGGGGAGTGAGGGCACGACCAGTGACACCTGACATGCACGTCATCAAATCTGTTAATTGAATTCGTCACTTTTCTTTAAGTAGAAAGTGGACTATTTTAATTCAGTTAGATATCTAGAAGCAATGTAAACTGTATATACTTCAAGATTCTAGGCACTTGTAACTTTGCGGAT